TTAGGAACTAATGCTTATGTTATTTCCAAGCTTGATGAAAATTATAAACCTACATATCCAAGAAGTTCCATACATCTCACACACAAGAATCTTCACCAAGACACATCATAATCAGGGGCGCCTGGGTGGCTCAGTGGTGTAGTGCCTGCCTTCAGCCCAGGGCATGATCCTGGAGTCCTGGGATCAAGTCCCACATCAGGCTCCCTGCATGGAGCCTGCTTTTTCCTCTGCCTGTGTTTCTGCCTCTCTTTCTCTCTGTGTCTCTCATGAATAAATAAAAAATACATATTAAAAAAAAGAGACATCAGGGATCCCTGGGTGGCGCAGCAGTTTGGCGCCGGCCTTTGGCCCAGGGCGCGATCCTGGAGACCCGGGATCGAATCCCACGTCGGGCTCCCGTGCATGGAGCCTGCTTCTCCCTCTGCTTGTGTCTCTGCCTCTTTCTCTCTCTGTGTGTGACTATCATAAATAAATAAAAATTAAAAAAAATATTTATAAAAAAAAGAGACATCATAACTAAATTGCTCAAAACCAGTGATAGAGTGAAAATCCTAAAAGTAACCAGAGACAGCTCAACAACACTAATCATCAGAGTAATGAAACTCAAAACTACAATGAGATATCACAGCCATTAGGATGGCTACTATTAAAAAAACAGGGGGCCCCTTTGTGGTTCAGTTGGTTAAGCATCGGACTCTTGATTTTGGCTCTGGTCATGATCTCAGGGTGATGCAATGGATCCCTGTGTCAAGCTCTGTGCTGGATGTGGAGCCTGCTTGAGATTCTCTCTTCCTTTTGAGCTGCACCCCCCTGCCAATCTCTAAAATAAACAAACCAGGAAATACATGTTGGTGAGGATGTAGAGAAATTAGAACCCTTGTGCACTGTTGGTGGGGTGACAAAATGGTGCAAACACTATGGAAAACAATTAAAAATAGAGCTACCAGGGAGCGTGGGTGGTGCAGTTGGTTAAGTGTCCAACCCTTGGTTTTGGCTCAGGTTGTGATCTAGGATCATGGAATTGAGCTCCACATTGGCTTCAAACTCAATGCAGAGTCTGCTTAAGATTCTCTCTCCTTCTGCTCCTGCCCTCCCCAAATAAATAAACAAATCTTTAAAAAAACTAAAAAACAATAGAGCTACCATATAATTCAGCAATTTTACTTCTGGGTATATGTCCAAAAGAATTGAAAGAAGGATCTCAAAGCACACGATTTCACAGCAGCACTATGCACAGTAGCCAAGAGGTACAAGCAACACAAATGTCCATCAATAGATGACTGGAGAAGCAAAATATGTTCTATACACATAATGGAATATTATTCAGCCTTAAAAAGGAAGGACATCCTATCACATGCTACAACATGGATGAAACTTGAGGACATTATGCTAAGAGAAATAAGTCAATCACAAAAAGACAAAATACTGTATTATTCCTCTTACATGAGGTATTGAAAGTAGTCAAATTCATAGAAACAGAAAATAGGATGGCGGTTGATGGAGAAGGAGGAACAGAGGAGTTACTGTTTAATAAATGTAGAGTTTCAGATTTGCAAGATGAAAAAGTTCTAGAGATCTGTTTTTTTGTTTTTTGTTTTGTTTTTTTTAAGATTATACTTATTTACTGGGCAGCCCAGGTGGCTCAGCGGTTTAGTGTTGCCTTCAGCCCAGGGTGTGATCCTGAAGACCCAGGATCGAGTCCCACGTCTGGCTCCCTGCAGGGAGCCTGCTTCTCCCTCTGCCTGTGTCTCTGCCTCTCTCTGTGTCTCTCATGAATAAATAAATAAAATCCTTTTAAAAAATTATATTTATTTACTTATTCATGAAAGACACATTGAGAGAGAGAGAGAGAGACACAGGCAGCGGGAGAAGCAGGCTCTTCGCAGGGACCCTGATGCGGGACTCAATCCCTAGGCCCTAGGATCAAGCCCTGAGCTGAAGGCAGACCACTCAACCGCTGAGCCACCCAGGCGTCCCTAACCATATCAATAATTACATTAAGCATAAATAGTCCAGGCTAGATTGGAAAGGAAGAAGTAAAACTATATTTTCAGAAGACACGCTCTTATATATAAAAAATTCTAAGGAATCCACAAAAAATCATTATAACCAGCAAATGAATTTGACGAGGTTGCAGCATATATAATCAGTATAAAATATATACCATATATATAAGCACATGAAAAGATGTTGGCATCACCAGTCATTAGGGAAATACAAATCAAAACCATACTAGGACACTGCTTTACACCCACTAGGATGGCCATAATAAAAAAGACAGGGGTATCTGGATGGCTCAGTTGGTAGAGCATGCAACTCTTGATCTCAGGATTGTGGGTTCAAACACCACATTAGGTGTAGAGATTACTTTTTAAACACTAAAAACTTAGGGATCCCTGGGTGGCTCAGTGGTTTGGCACCTGCCTTCAGCCCAGGGTGTGACCCTGGAGACCCGGGATCGAGTCCCACATTGGGCTCCCTGCATGGAGCCTGCTTCTCCCTCCTTCTGTGTCTCTGCCTCTCTCTCAGGAATAAATAAATAAAATCTTAAAAAAAAATAAAAACTTGTACAAGAATCTTCACAGCAGCACTATTCATAATAGCCTTATTGTTAATAGCATTATTCATAATTATTATTCATAATAATAAAAGGGGAAACAAGACATGGGCATCAATGATGAATGGATAAACAAAATGAGATCTGCTCACACAGTGAAATATTATTCAGCCACACAAAAAAGTGAAGTACCAATGCACTCTACAATGTGGATGACCCTCAGAAATGTGCTAAGTGTGGGACGCCTGGGTGGCTCAGTGTTTGAGCATCTGCCTTCAGCTTAGGTCATGATCCTGGGGTCCTGGGATTGAGTCCTGCATCGGGCTCCCCACAGGAAGCCTGCTTCTCCCTCGGCCTGTGTCTGTGCCTCTGTCTCTGTGTCTCTCATGAATAAACAAATAAAATCTTAAAAAAAAAAAAAAAAAAAGGAAAACTAACAGGGGTGCCTGGCTATCTCAGTCAACAAGAGCGTGCAACTCTTGATCTCAGGGTCATGAGTTCAAGCCCCACATTGGGTGCAGAGATTAACTAAAGAAGTAAACAGATAAACTTTAGAAAATGATAAAGCAACAAAAATAAAAGGTGTGTATAAGCTAAATTCTTTGTCCTTCACACACAGAGTCAAGAGAGCTTTAAAAGCTATAAATCATCATCTTTCTAATTCAAGAGAGCCACCAGAAGAATTCAAAACAACTCTTTAAAAGTGGGCTATCTCCAGGGAATTAGAGTGAATAGAGGTTTTTACTTCTTCATTTTTATAACCTGATAAGTGAATTAATTAACAAGTGAAAAATAAAGGCGAAGATAAATTAACTATCAGAGTTAATTCATAAAGATGTATGAAACTTTTTTGGTTTTATTTTAATTATTGTATGCAGAGTGATGCTGACCTATTGCCACGGACAGGTCACGAAACAGTTCTTTTGCACCTTCTCTGGCTTCCCTAGTGCACTTTTCATCCATTGGAATTAATTAGATTAGAATTTTTAAATATATGTTTTTTAAGATTTTATTTATTTATTCATGAGAGACACAGAGAGAAAGGCAGATACATAGGCAGAGGGAGAAGCAGAGTCCCCATAGGCACCCCAGTGTGAAACTCGATCCCAGGATCCCGGGATCACAACATGAGCTGAAGGCAGACGCTCAACCACTGAGCTACCCAGGTACCCCTAGATTGGAATTTTTTTAATGCAAGGCTTGTTTTAGCCCCTGAAATAATCTATTTGGGTAGTTTACCAAAAATACAAAACTGTGTTAAGTACAATCGTTTACCCAAAAAGCTGCCAAACCTCAATGGATTCCCCTTTGGCTCATAACATTCCAAGAAAACAAAGCAAGTCATGCAAAAAATAAAAACTAAATGTCTTTGTTTTTCGGTGAGATTACAGTTAAGGGACTATCATTATTGTTCAATATGAGAAGAATGATTTTTATCGAGCCTCTAATACATCAGCATTGTCCTTCCCATATTGATATATTATCCCAAAAAAATGCTTTCCTTTGGCTAAAGGGCAACTAAATATCAAGAAGCAAGGGGCTTGTGGGATAGCTCTTCTTGGTACCATCCCAGGCTTCGGAATCTCTCAGCTGAATTGCTGGGAGAGAGGAAAGAGGTTACCCAGCAACCCACCAAAGTAGAGCTATGAGGATCTCTGCCCCTGACCATTTTCCAGGGCTGCTGTGCTAGATTCCAGGGATCTGAAGAGCACTCCGTTCTTGAAATGAAGAAAGCCCTCATCACCTGGCATGAGTTTGGGGTGTACAGTGATCAGCGGAAATGCTATTCACAGCCTCCTGGTGAGATTCCCTTCAGGACTTTGAAGTTTGGTCTTACAAGCTGAGCCTACTTAGGGCCTCAGAAAGCAGGGCTTAAAATGTTACTGAGCAACTGCCAAGATGATCAAGACTCAGGAAGCGATTGGAACAAAGTACAGAGGTACTGAAATATTTATGAAATTTTACCTACCATATTGTCTTGAAGGCCTAGTGATAAATTAATACATGTGTCCACACCACGTTATACCACAGTGGGATTTTTTAAAGATCCAAAGTTGAATTGCTTTCAGATACTAATAACATCTTGCCAGTTTTAAATGCCTTCAGTTTTTAACCGGCCTTAGCACGCTCAAACTCATGCCCACTGAGTTCACGGTCTCTATCAACCTGGTTTGACCTCTTGCCTTCCCCGACCTTCTAGACTGAGTACCCCAGTTGGTGGGTGGGTGGAGGGCAAGGGAAGAGGGATGGAGAGATGGGAGGAGGTGGGCAGGTGGGTAAATGGAAGGGAGTGGTGGATGAACTGATGAGTGCATGTGTACCTTGGTAATCTCTGGAGTACAGAGGACCTTAAAAAGTCGCTGAGAGACCTGGAGCAGTTGGATAGGGATCTGGTGAAGAGATTAAGCTGGAAAAGTGGGTAGAAGAAGGAACTGTTGCATACCTCTCCTCAGCTTCCATCCTTGAGCAGATGCGCTGAATATTCACAGCCTCCCTGGCTGTTATCTTTGGGACCCAGAAGGGAAGATGGAAGCAGAGAAAGGACGGTGGTGTCGTTACAGTGTCCTCTGGTGGCCATGAGGGGACTTGGCGTTTTGTCTTTTTTCTCCCAACCCCGCACCCCCAGTAGACTATGAAGTCCATGAGGACAGGGACTTTTGTCTGTTCACTCATTGTTGTATACTCAGTGTCTAGAATACTGCCCAGTATGTAGTAGGTGTTCAAATCATATTTATTGAATGAGTGGCTGATAGATTTCTAATCTTGCTCCACCGCTTTATTGATGTATGACCCTGAGCAGCTCTCTTTACCTCATAAATCCTCAGTTTCCTCCTGGGGAAAATGGAGATACTCACCCCCACCCCCATGGGCGTGGAGAGAAAGAGACCTTCCCAGGGCTGAGCAAGGGCACTCAGTCAACAGGTGTTCCCTTCTCACCCACCAGCCAGCGTTGGTGACACGTTATATGCTGACTGTAGCACCCAGCTGGATAGGCACATTTGCCATAATGAGCATGGAAGCATGGGCTTCGGCTGGGCTTGGGGCAGCTTGGGGAAATCATCCAAGCCTAATCCCAGGCTGGCCATGCAAGAAGAAGGTGTAGCCAGATAGACAGGGTGCTACCAGATGAGGTGTGAGATTCATCTTCCGATTCCACTCCCCAGTTCAGTCTCCCCACCCCCACAGCCACACCCAATTCCTCCTACTGCCTTGAACCCATGGGTTCCATCTGAGCTCTGAGCCTTTGCACACGCTGTTTCCTCTGCCTGCAGTCCCTTGTCTCCAACCCCATTGCCACGACCCACATTCGAGCCTGTGAGGGGCTGCATCAGCCTCCTCCTGGGCTCCCTGCAGCCACTGTGGCTCCCTTAAATGCATTCTGATGCAGTGAACTCGGTCTACAGCAAATATGCTTATCTCACTTTCCAGCTTCAGTCTGATTGTTCTCAGGACAGAGTCCAAGTCCTCTGGCCTACCATCTTGTGGTCTGGACCCAGTCCAGCTCCTAACCATCTCGCCTGTCTTGCTCCCATCTTCAAATCTTCCACCAAACAATCCAAGTCATTTCCTACCTCTGAGCCTTTGTCCTTGCAGTCCCCTCTGCCTGGAAATCCACTCCATTGCGAGGAAGGCATGTGTTGTTTTTGCCTGCCCAGGATCCATTTCCTTTTCCTCTGGTAATGGGATCCCCTCCCAGCTCTCAGATCCGGAGGTGCCTGGAGGGCTGACCCATTTCTGTGTTCAAGGGTGATCTTGAGACTCAGCCTGCTAGAGTTCTTTTTTCTTTCTTAATTGGGATGCTGTGGGTGCAGTACACATTCTCCAGTTGGCCACAGCCCACTTCGCTCCCATTTATCTTCTGGGTCCTGGAAGCATTGGAGTTTGAGATTCCGGTATACTTCCTTCTGTGTCTGTCAGACTCTGATTCCCTTCTGGATTCCAACTGTTTTGCCTTCCCTTTCCCAGTGTATCCATGAATCTTGATTTCCTTATCTTGACACCTAGAAGTGCCCCTGGTTCTGTGGGTGTTCAGTTATGACACTTCGGGATTGAGAAGCTGAGGCCCAGAGATCTAAGTTCCCTAGAGCCAGGAAGTCTGCCTAGCTGAGCATGACTGTTTTCCCTGGAAAAAGGACAGGAGGACCCAAAGGTGGAAGTGCTTATTAAAGAGGAAAAGTGTAGCCCCAGGGGGCATCTCTGGGGTGTGTCCTGTGAGAAGGTGTCACCAAAGGCAGTGGCTCACCACTTCTGTCCAGCATCTTTGCTAGATTAATCTCCACTGTGTGCTCTGAGCCTGACTACAGCAGCTGCTCAGCACTTAATTCGTGCGTGAAGGATGGTCTTGTCTTGTCTGGAGCTTTCATATCTGAGATGAGCTCATTGTTTTCTTGATCTGTCCCCTTCTTAGCAAGGGGTCTCCAGGATTGAGGAAGGGGCAAAGGGGTAGGTTACCTCCCTCAAGGCAGACTGTGACCCCTAGACCCTCTCTAGTAAAGGAGCTTTGTGGATGAACTGTTTTCCTCTTCCTCTGGCAAAGGGCAGAGAAGACAGTGGGTTCCTCTCTCAACTGACGATAGCGCAATGGAACCAGGACATAAAGGGACTTCAAGCACCAAATGGAGATGCATAGTGGAGTCGGCTGGGGACCCCAGAAGTGAATGGTCAGGTTCTCGCTTCCTCCAAAGAGGTGGGAACAGTAGCCAGAGGTGAGAGGCAAAATGCTTAATAATCAGTACAATATGGGCACCAACGAAGTAGAATGTTCCAGCTGAATGCCAGCCCAGTGGCAGGCTCCCTGCTCAGCGAGGAACCTGCTTCTCCCTCTCCCCATGTCCCTCCTCTGCTCATGCTCTCTTTTAAAGACTTTATTTATTTATTTATTTATTTATTTATTTTATTTATTTATTTAAGAGAGCATGGGTGGGGGGAGAAGCAGAGGGAGACGGAGAAGCAGAGGGAGACAGAGAAGCGGACTCCACACTGAGTAGAGAGCCTGATGGGAGGCTCCATCCCAGGACTCTGGGATCATGACCCCAGCCAATGGCAGATGCTTAACCAACTGAGCTATCCAGGTGCCCCCCACAATTTCTTTCTGGCATTTGTTTAAAGAGCTCTCTTGAACTTATTTCAACAGATTGTTATCATGTTTTATTTTTTTTTTAAGACTTTATTTATTTATTCATAGACAGAGAGAGAGGCAGAGTTACAGGCAGAGGGAGAAGCAGGCATCATACAGAGAGCCTGACGTGGGACTTGATCCAGGGCCTCCAGGATCACGCCCTGGGCTGCAGGCGGCGCTAAACCGCTGTGCCACCGGGGCTGCCCTGTTATCATGTTTTATCTGTAAGCTGCACACATAGGCCATGATGGCTATGTGATGGCCAATGCCTGGCTGACAGTGACCACTAGACCCCATTGGTGAAAGACACATTTTGACTTCAGAGAAGGTAGTGTGTGAAAACAGGTGCATCTTAGAATCAGTGAGCTATGGTTAATTTCTAAGAGTCACTGAGCCTTCATGATGTGTTAATGGTCACCCAAAGACATCTGTAAGGTTGCTCATTTATTAGACCTATTGTACAGATGAACAGAGGTGAAGTCAGCCCCTCCAACTCACACAAGCAGTAGGTGGCAGAGCCAGACTGCAGCCCAGGCCAGTGCTAGGAGAGTCGTGTACTATACTTAGGGGCAACCTTGAGGGTCCCAAGAAACCATGCTATCCCACTGGTGGCAGCATCCTCTTTGCCTTTAGGACCTGTGGGCATTGTACATGGGTGTGGCCCCTTCAGGAAACAGCTTGAGAGAGAAGTCAAGGGCCGGGGCAGCCTGGGTCAGCATCCCTAGAGAGAGGACGTCGATGTGGGGCCCACAGAACTGGGGGAGGTTGGCCAGTGTGATGCCTCCGCTGGCCTCCACGCCCACACCGGGGAACTGGGCCTTCAGCGCAGCAGCCGTGGGGTGCAGCTCCTGTGGGACATAAGCCAAGGGGAGGTGAGAGTCCCTGACTCGGCCCCTTCCCCGGAAGCAGACCCTGCCTCACCTCAGGCCTGAAGTTGTCCAGCAGGACGAGGTCCGCTCCGGCCTTGGCGGCCTCCACAGCCTCCTGCAGACTGCTGCACTCCACCTCCACCTTCAGGGCGAAGTCAGCCACCTGCCGGGCCCCCTGCACTGCCTGGGGGGCAGGCCCAGAAGGTGAGTGAGGACAGTGGCACCTGACATGGGGGCCTGGCCCCAGAAAGGCCCCAGGTGGATAATGAGCTTGGGGTTAATGAAAAGGCAAGGCCACGGGATGGTTTCTCCCACATTAGTGAAACCACATGAAATTACCCCTTCTGTGGATCCAAAAAATGGCCAAATATCAGCCATATTTGGCACCAGGACGGGAGTCCAATTTGACTCATGAACAGTAAAACTGGAAAGCACCTCTTTCTGCCCACGGGTCCTGTCCCCCTGCTATAATACAAACACCTTCTTGTACCAGAAAAAAAAAATAACAAAATAAAACTGGACGGGGTCTTTAAGAACATTTTCAAATAGGAAACCGGTCCAGGAAGCTCGAGCAACTTGCTCAAGGTCACAGAGCCACCATCACCAGCAGCTCAACCACCCTTTGCTTTTGAACATCACAGCAAGTCCCAGGGCCCTGCTGGAGAAGTCTGCCACCAGCCCATCTGACCTGACGGCGCGAATGCCCAAGGGGGTGGGAGTGGGGGTCCAGCACCCCGGACTCCCCAGCCATCACTGTTCACCCTGGCGTGGTTGGGGGGGGCGGTCGCTGGTAGGGGGAGGGGGCTGCGGCTGGGAGCGCAGCAGGGCCGGCGCAGGGGCCCAGCGGGACGCACCTTCTCCACACCTCCTGCGGCCAGGACGTGGTTGTCCTTCACCATCACCAGCCCTCCCAGGTCATAGCGGTGGGCGGCGGCCCCGCCCACCAGGAGCCCGAACTTCTCCACCAGCCGGAAGCCGGGCGTGGTCTTCCTGGTGCCAGCCACGTGCCCGGTCCAGCCGGTCCCCTTGGCGGCTTCGACGGCGGCGGCGGCGGCGCTGGCCACCCCACTGCAGCGGGCCAGCGTGTTCAGGGCCACCCTCTCGCCCAGCAGCAGGCAGTGGGCGGGGCCCCGGACCTCGGCCACCTTGGCCACCGGCACCAGCTTGGAGCCTTCAGGGAGGAACCAGGACACCTGGCAGTTGACTCGGGCAAAGATGGCATCGAAGAAAGGCCTCCCGGCCAGTACCCCCGGGGACTTGGCCCACAGCACCGCCTGCGACGGGGCTGCCCCCGAAACCAAGGCTGCGTGGTTAAGGCCTGGGCAGTCCTCGCGGAGCCAGCTGTCGGCCAGGGCGGCCAGAGTGGTGGGGGGCAGCAGCAGCTCCAGACCTGGGAGGGAAAGACAGAGAACAGGGTTACACTGAGGACGCCTCCCTGCAGTCCGGGGTGGTTGTCAAAACATCTAATGACCAGCTAAACTGGGGGCTAGCCAGTCAGGGCAAAGATCTGGGGTTCCCCTCAGATGGGCTTGTGGGTTGGACAAGGGTGTCAGATTAGGCAAGTAAGAACACAGGACACCTAGTTAAATT